AGATAAGCAAGATACGGCCCTAATCGGTGGGTCAAATCTACAACTTCGAGAACTCGGCAAAAACCCAAGTAACCTGACGGCAGTGACGGAAATGGATGTTCGGCCAAGAATTTTCTTTATATCCTGCGCTCAAAGGTAAGGTTAATAATGTCCCAAAAGTATTAAAATTGTGGCAAATGGAAATTTGAGTTACACAATTATTCTTGTATGGTGAACTATTAAACACAGCAAAAACAAAAATTACATAAATCCAAAAAGTTAATTTTGTAATAAAAAAATTTTCCTGAACAATAAAAATATATCAAATGTACCCAGCAAATGAGGATTTATTTCTACTATATTTTTGTCAGAGAATTTATGGTGAGGGTCTATATGTAAGCAATTGTGTTAATTCAAGCGGTTGCTCGTCGTCGTAAATGTCAGGGGCGGAGGCAGGATTTTATTTCAAAGGGGGCACAATGCACTTGTTGAAAAAAAAATCAATAAATATAATAAATATTATTAATTTTAAATAAAAAAGACAAACAAGAAAAAAAAATAGTTGTAAAATAATATGTTAAATAAATACTGTAAAAAAAATATAGTTACAAATATAATAATCAAAATACTGATTAATAATATTTTAATTAAATACAATAAAAATGTCATCAATAAAAATAAATAAGTGAAAAAAAAATAAAAAAATACATAATTATACATAAGTTAAAAAAGAAATTTTTTGAAAAATGAAACAAAAATTAGAAAAGGAAAAATATATGATGTACTTGAAGAAGGGGGATATATGTAATTTTTTTTTTTCCAAAAGAAAATTAGAAGAATTTGAAAATTTTAGGGGGTACTATTTAAAATTACCATATAAATAAATAAATAAATATATATATATAGTAAAAATATGTACCTATGTATAGTAAGTTGGAGCAAAGACAGAGGGGCCACGTATCCTTTGAGCCTTAATTGGCTCCGCCCCTGGTCAATGTAGTTCAGGTCCTTTAGGTAATAACTGTCTTTTGCAATTCACTCTGATAATGACAACAGCAGCATTAAGTAATAGGTGCTATATATATATTGGCGGAGTGAAAAATTTTCAATCACAAGCTTGAGGCCACAAATCATTCACTCCCAACAACTCAATTAAGCTTAAGGTACGCCTAAGCCCCCAGTTGGAAAAAAGACCCATAAAAAGTTAACATGTGTCTTAAAAAATAATTGAAATAATTAAACTAAGCACATAAATAAACTTCTTTTTGGAGTTCCACATTCTTATTCAAAACTTCGAACCCCTTTTGCGATGGATTCCACGTGCATGAGAAATTAACATTTCTACAACAAATAGAACAAATTTGATGATTTAATTTCTTTAGTAATTTTCAAGGAAAATAAATTATCTTGATAACATAAAAAGTAACATCAATATCATACTAATATATAATATGTCTGAAAGGCATATATAGCAAAATGCGATTGTCAATAAAGATAATATTTTTTTATGAATAATTATATTTAGTTGAAAATCTTTTTGAGCGTTTAATTTTATAGACTAATAATATGTTTTAACTTGTGTATATAGTTAAAGTTCAAATTTAACCATTCGAGCAAGAAATATAAAGTACTTACCATTATAGCGCTGTCTGCAATTGTTGAACTCGACTAACAACCAAGATAAAAGTTGCATGGTACACTGATTTTCATGATCCATCTGTGAAAACAATAAAAACCAAAAATTATACCTTTTATAAGTTATATAAACCCAAACCCAATTACGTAGAACAAGATTTTATTGAGGTGGCTAGATAAAATAACAAAACAATATCTTTGTCAAAGTCTAAATCACTTTGTATCACCACCTACCAGGTAAAAAAATTGTATCTCCAGGTATGATTACACCTCAACCTAAAATGTGTAATGCTTAAAAGTAAATAAAGTATACTAATTTCTGCTTAACATTCCGTTTCGTGGCTGAGCCTCTAGATTGGGGTGGGGAAGAAAAAGATAGTTAAAAAACTAAAGAGGTAAGGTCTATCCATGTCATAATTTTTTTTGACCATGTATATATATTACTAGTTTAAAATTAATGATATCACTTGAATTAAATTAGAAAGATAGAAATCAATTTTAAGTCTTTAAGACATAAATGATATGTCTACATACAAAGAAAAAATAAAACACAGAAAACGAATACGTAAATCACCTCACTAAAAAAGTATAGGAGAGCATCCATTTTTAGAGATGGCCTGAAAGTTTTGGAATAGAGACTTTTAATCATATCCGAAAAGGCTGATGAGAGAGCCATAAGAGAATTTATTCTATATATCACTAAAATCTAATCTTATAAAAGATGTGTCCGGGTTATATTCTTTGAAATCTTTGTGGTGCATGAGTCATGCCGATTGAAGTGCTTGAGGTTTCGAATGATGGAGGGCAAGGTCTCTTTGTGTTTGGTGGAGGCTTTGGTGTGAGATGAATAGGTGGTCTTAGATGGTGTTGAAGCTCTGGAATGGGCGATAAAGTACCATATTCTGATCCCTCTCTCTTTTTCAGGTTATAGGGATGATTTTATTGATTTTTGGGATAGTTTGAGGCTGTTGAGATGTAATTTTTTTGTGCAGTTGTTCTTTGGGATAGCTCCCTTCCAAGGGCTTTTTACTTACAAGAAAATAACAATATGTAGTTAATGTCCCAAAAGAGAATTTATGTTTCAATTTTTATCAATATCAATAAAAATGATAGATAAAAACCAAACAATTAGTGTTTCAGGCATAAAGAATGAAATCTTTTTTTTAATACAATTAGCTGAATTTTTTTTAAAAATATACCCTTGTAAAATAATACTTACCATATTAACACTACATTAGATAGAGATCTTTTATGTCTATCAGGTCTCTAATGTCTATCATAGATCTTAATTGAAGAAAAAGGGAATTGAAGAAAAAGGGGAATCAAGCCAAGTCATTAGTAATCATGAAATTGGTGAGCACTATCATAGATCTTGTTCAAATAAAGAAGAGCACTAACAAACAAATATCAAGATGAATGGATCAGATCCATAAATATAACTAGAGCATCCAACAATTTAAAACCTTTTGGGAATATATACCATGGCAGGCAGTTTAGTAGGTTTCAAAAAAATTCATGGTAGTATATTACAAAAGACGAGGCAATTAGAAACTGAAATAGAAGGGGCTTTCTAAAAGGCAAAAGATAGAGCAATTATGACGGTCTTCTAAGTAATATGAATAAATAATGTTTAGTGAAAACAAATATCAAGGTGAATGGATCAGATCCATAAATATAACTAGAGCATCCAACAATTTAAAACCTTTTGGGAATATATACCATGGCAGGCAGTTTAGTAGGTTTCAAAAAAACTTCATGGTAGTATATTACAAAAGACGAAGCAATTAGAAACTGTAATAGAAGGGGCTTTCTAAAAGGCCAAAGATAGAGCAATTATGACGGTCTTCTGAGTAATATGAATAAATAATGTTTAGTGAAATTGATTTCCATATATTTAAAAGATCACTTAGCAACATACAATTCATTAAAACACAGAAACAAAGATAAATTATCCAAAAAAATCTAATCAAGAAACTATCCTTTTGAGTGTGCAGAGCAATTGAACACAAAGACGCTAGAGTTTTCAAGTACAAGGCACATTAGCAAAATATTAAGATATAAGCAGTTCAACAAGATAACCTTGGACCAACAAAATATTAAGCTATCAAGTTTCAGCCTTTTTTAATTTTTCCTATTTTTTATATATTATTCATTCAAAAAAAGAAAAAGAAAAAATCATATAAATTAAGAGAGGAACCCCATCCCCGCCCCCAATCCCTATTTCAAAAATCTCAATCCCAATCCCTATCCCCGTCCCACCCAACTCCGATTAACATCCAAAAAAGGGAGAGATCGAAGCGTTGGTGGACTGAGAAGAAGAAGAGAGAACTTACTGGTGGACTGACGCTGACGCAAGAAAGCTTCGACTTCGACACTTTACAGAAAGGCGGTCCCTTTCGTCTTCTTTCGCATTTTAACAGCTGCTACAAGAAAGCTTCGTCTTCGACACTGTTGATGACCGCGCCACACTACCTGATTACGTGGCGCCACCTCTGCAACATAGGCACGACTGGCCAGTGCTAACCTGGCTTGCCCACGGTGGATTAGGTATTCTCGAGCTACCAATCCAATAACGGAGATTACTAGCCGAGGAAGGGGTCGCTACCCTTCCTCTACCGCGGATGCGCCCAGCTCCAGTCGGATGGGCTCCTCCCCCCCCTGGCTCGCTTAAGGTTGCTCTCTGAAAGGGGAAACTCGATAAACCTGTTTACACATTTCCCTTCTTGGCAAAGAAGACCTCAGGATAGAACTGGGATGGGAACCTGCGAGGTCATGAAGGCAGGACCTCAAAAGGGGCCTATCCCCACTGAAGCACGGGAATCTGAGGACATGTGGATAGGTGGCTGAGATCTAAGGGGTCGCCTTAGTCCAAGGCCAGCACAAGGGGGAAAAGATACTCGGTACCTAAGCTCGAGCGATGAAGGATAAGAAACACATTAATTATGAAAGACATTTGATAAGACCCGCATTAATTAGGGAGCGCCGTTACCTCCTTTGACTGGAGGGGAAAGCGCCGCGGCCCATCCATCAATGTCTCATCCGTCAGACGAAGAAGCCATCGAACCTTTGGATAAGAGCGGGCTCAACCAAAGGGCTAAAAGGCATTGACCGAGGAAGTAAACACTATAAATAGGGGTGTTGATCAGCCTTTAAAGCAGGAAGAACCACCACATTAATACTTATCCTCTAACAAGCTCGAGTTTGCATGGTACCGAGGTCGGCCTTCCTTTTCTCAATCTCCGTACCTAAAGAATTCCTTGTGTTGCTTAGATCTCCACTTGGATACTGATCTCAGATCTCTTGGCATACGTGGAACGAACTCCTCATCCTACTCACGAACTACCATCAACATTTTGGCGACTTCACTAGGGAGGAGCGGTTCACCCATGTCAAGCATACGAGAGATCAGTCCGCCCTCTCAAACCAGCCCTGCCCTAAGCGAGGGCTACGATGGGTCTGTAAGTATGCCTGGGTCGTACTTCCCTGGAACTAGGATTATCTACCCTGATGCACTAGTCGAAGCCCATAACGCACTGTCGCATAGAATGGAGCAGCTCGAAAGCACTCAGAGGGAGGTAGTGACCTTGCTGCGGCAGATTGCTGACCAAGGAGCACTTCAGCGAAGTGCAAATCCGAATGACAACCTCCCTGATGAGCTTACTGGGGAACATGCAACCCCGGGCGATCCGGCGCGACAGACATTCTCGTCATCAGTCGAGGCAAGACAAGCCACCGGTCGACGCAGGCGGTCGCGAGATACACCGCCGCGGGCTCGCCGAACCCTTTTTAGTACTCCTCTCACGGCACCCGCAAGGTTAAGTATGCCGAGTACCGGTCGGAGGGAGGCTCGTCACAGAGACACGAGCTCGGAAGGATTCGGACATCAACAGGACCATGTGCAGTGGTCGCCATATGTAACTATGGCGGACTTGCAAACGCTGTTGCAAAATGAAAAGAATGTGCTGATGCAGGAGGCAGCCCCTGAACCACCTTACGCACAATCCATCGCGCTTCTCCCTTACCCCCCGGGGTATTTGACCCCTAAGTTTAGCAAGTTTGATGGAAGGAAAGGGAACCCGCGAGAGCATGTGGTACGGTTTATTGAGGCCTTGGGGCCCTTCGGAAATGATCATACTCTACGTCTTAGGGAGTTTTCAAAAACTCTCACGGATAGGGCTTACAAGTGGTACGCGAATTTGGAGTCTGGGTCACTTACCACTTGGAGCCAGCTGGCTACCATCTTTCAATCCAAATTCTTTCAAGCAGAAGAGAGGGTGACAACCCTCTCCCTGACTAAAGAAGTCCAGGGCCCTGGGGAGGATTTGCTCTCATATGTCCACAGATTTCATGATCGGGCTATGGAATGTTATGAAACGCATGAAGAGGAAGCGCTGGCCAAGATTTGCATACAAGGCATGCAGGGGTCTTACCGCATTCACCTCATTAATCTGAAGCTCCTCACCTTTGCTGACTTAATTGAGGCATTTCGAAACTTGGCAAGCAATCTTGCTATTTGTGCGCAGGGTGCTGCGCAAGAAAAGTATCGGGGTAAACGTAGACCCCAAGTCTCGGCCGCAGACGAGCCCCCCGGAAAGAAGAACGCGAGACCATCCCGGGCCCCTCGAGCAAAGAATCCGGATGAAGCGCCTCCCCCGTTCCCATGTACCCCTGAAGAGGTGGAAACCGTCATCAAGAAATGGATCCAGCACGGAGACATCAGGCTGCCAGAGGTCGCTCATGAGCCCACCACGGAAGAAATGGCCCACCCCAAGTACTGCATGTATCATCGGCATACTCGTCATCTTACTTATGATTGCTGGGCGTTGCGGAATACCTTTCACAGACGAATTGCTAACGGTGAACTCATTCTTCCCCCCAGAGATGTGAGGGAAGAGCCTTTCCCTGCGCATGACCGTGGAGTGGCAATGATGGTGTCCGACATGGAGACCGAAATGGAAGGGACCAAGGGTGGTGCGGCCGAGATCGCGCTAGTGCAGGGAGATGACCTCGAGGCCTTTCACTTGTTAGAAGTGGCTCCTGTCGAGAATATTCTCCAAAAGATGGATTTTTCTCCTTTTGCCCAGAAGGAAATAGCAAAATTTCTGTGGCTAGCAGCGAAGGAGGGTGTCAAGGAGGTGGCGTCTATCGCGTCACTCCCTGTATCACAAAGGTCAACTGGGTCAGCTTTGGTCTTTACAGAGGAAGACAAATGTGCCCCTACTCCTCACAACAGGCCATTGTACATCACGTCTTCGCTCAATGGGGTCGAGCTCAAGCGGGCGTTTCTGGATAATGGTTCGTCCTTCAATATCATGCCTCTGGAAGTCTTTCGTCGCAGTGGTCTACTGGACGAGAAACTTATCCGAAGGCCAATAGAGATCGCCAGGTTTGGAAGTGATATTCGAATAACTGAAGGGCACGTGACGGCCGAGTTGGCCATTGGGAAGTTTAAAAGTTCGGTGAAATTTCACGTCATTGATTTGGATACCTCTTACCACTTGCTCATGGGTCAAAGTTGGATACACAAGTTCGGGATTGTACTATCCTCGTATCACCAATGCATGAAGGGGTTCTGGAACGGGAAACAGGTGATGGTCCGCTGCTCTGATCGACTATTTACTAAAAGAGAGTCTCACATGGTAGAGGTTGGATTCTTTAACAAGTTAGAAGATGCAGAGGAACCACAACCATTAAGGGCCTTTCCTCTACCGAAGTGGGAGGATGTTGACCAACAAAAGGAGGAGAAAATGCCAGGAGCGGCTACTAGCCGGAGGAAGCCAGCTGTCTGCAAAAGGATATGTTTGGCCGACGGGAGAGTGGCATACCGCTTATGACGGTGTCGGAGGGCACTATCTAGGGCGAGATTGCGCCCCCGAGTGGAGTCGTGTCAGGTAGAATCTCCGAACTTTGAGGAGAAGGCCAAAATGGAGTCAGGCGAATCTGCTCGGCTCAGTCAAGAAGAAATAGAGGAAGTTAATTTAGCCAACGACGGTCCCTCTCGGGTAATCTATGTGTATAAAAAGTTGGAAGGAAGTGAAAAAGCGGCACTGGTAGCCCTGCTCAAAGAATTCAAAGATGTCTTTGCCTGGATATATGAGGAAATGCCTGGACTAGATCCTCAGGTAGTGGCTCACCACCTTAATGTGAGACCGGATGCACGCCCGGTTAAGCAGGCGCAAAGGAGTTTTCGGCCAGAGCTTGAGTTGCAGATAAAGGAGGAGGTGCAGAAGCTTTTGCGTGCCAGCTTTATCAAACCAATTCAACATCCCACGTGGTTGGCGAATGTGGTTCCAGTGAAAAAGAAGAATGGAAAAATTAGAGTTTGTGTTGACTTCAGAGATCTGAACAAAGCATGTCCAAAAGATGATTTTCCACTGCCTATAATTGACAACTTGGTAGACTCAACCTCAGGGCATGAAATGTTCTCGTTCATGGATGGATACAGCGGATATAATCAAATTAGAATAGCGCAGTGTGATGCAGAGAAAACAGCATTCCGCACCCCAATGGGAAACTTTTATTTTACAGTCATGCCCTTCGGCTTGAAGAATGCAGGGGCTACTTACCAGCGGGCCATGACAGCTTTTTTTCATGACATGTTGCACAGGCAAATGGAGGACTATGTGGATGATCTGGTGGTGAAATCCCGAGCTCGTAGTGAGCATTTGACTAATCTGAGAAGTGTTTTCGAAAGATGTCGGAAGTTTAAGCTAAGGATGAATCCACTGAAATGTACCTTTAAGGTTGAGGCTGGCCGTTTCTTGGGCTTCATAATGCATCATCAAGGGATCGACATCGAGCAAAGCAAGGCCCAATCTATCATAGAAATGCCCCCGCCGCAATCCCTCAAGCAACTGAAGAGTTTAGTAGGAAGGGCCTCGTATTTACGACGCTTCATATCGGCGCTCGCAGAGGTAACACATGCTTTTGGCACTCTGATGAAGGAAAAATCCGAGTTCAGATGGAAGGAAAAATCCGAGTTCAGATGGAACGAGGAACACCAACAAGCTCTCGATCATCTCAGGAAACTGCTCTCCTCGCCAACCACCATGATAGCCCCTCAGATAGGGATTCCCCTCAGACTCTATATTACCTCGACAGAGCACTCTATTGGGGCGCTCCTCGCTTAGGAAAAGGACGGTCAAGAGCGCCCCCTGTATTACATCAGCCGAGTTGTGCAAGGTGCCGAGACACGCTATTCTCTGATAGAGCGTCATTGTCTCTCCCTCGCCTTTGCAGCCAAGAAATTCCGCCATTATTTTTTAGCCCATACCATTCATCTCATCACCAAGTGTGACCCATTGAGATATCTGCTCTCGCGACCAATCATTTCGGGGCGAGTGGCACGGTGGCTTTTAATGTTAGCCGAGTTCGATATCCAATGTCTAGCACCTCGGGCCATCCTAAGTCAGGCCTTGGCAGATCTGATAGCCCAATTCCCTTCTGGAAATTTTGAGCCGGTGCAGGATGACCTTCCCCTCGATGAGTTCGAGTCAATTTGTTGTGTGGATGAGAACATGATCTGGACTTTGTCATTTGATGGATCATCAACCTCTACAGGAGGCGGCGTAGGACTAGTGTTAACCCCTGAAGAGGGGAAAGCCCGAAATCTTTCATACAAGCTCACCTTCGGATGTTCCAATAACACAGTAGAGTATGAAGCTTTGGTACTGGGTCTTTTGGCAGCCCGGGAAGCTAAAATCAAGCGGTTGCATGTGCAAGGGGATTCAAACTTGGTGGTAAAACAACTAGATGGCTCTTATGCTATCAAAGAGCCGGCTTTGGCAGCATATAGAACCATTATCTAGAAGCTCAATGGTCATTTTAGTGAGCTCCGAATAACCCACACACCGAGGGCTGCTAACCGGCATCCGGACGCCCTGGCCACTCTGGCATCCAAGGTCGAGATTATAGGGGAATCAGTAAACATCCGTATTCACAGGAATAATGAGTCATGTCTACACGATATAAAATGCACGAGTAATGAAGACAAGGAAGATTGGCAAACTCACTATGAATCGTAGCTGAAGTGCGGCACGGGCGAGGTTCCTTTGTCGGAACTAAAAAATTTTGCGCTGTATTTTGGAGTGTTGTACTTTAGAGCGCCTGGTGGAACCTTGGCAAGATGCATCGGAGAATAAGAGGCGGGAAAAGTATTGGATGAAATTCACAGGCACACCTGCGGCGACAATTCCTTGAGTTTGTACCAGAGAATACAAAGGCAGGGGTATTACTGGCCGCGCATGGCAAAGGATGCGGCGGCTGTACAAAAGGCATGTCTTAATAGCCGAGAAGTGTTCTAGGGATCCCGTTGTGTAGCCATATTGAAGAAGACTGGAGATTGAAGTATGTGGAGTACCTTGAAAAGCGGACGCTCCCACAGGACCCTAAAGAAGCTGCGCTGCTAAAGAGGGAGGCCAATCGTTTTTTTATCTGTAATGGTGAGTTGATGAGGCGCGGCTTTGACGGCAGAGCTAAGCGGTGTGTCAATTCAGCCGAAGCTCGCGAAGTTCTGAAGCAAGTGCATGAGGACGAACACCAAGGGTGGAAGAGGCTATACCATCGCATTATACAGTTGGGTTATTACTGGCCCACGATGCAAACTGACAGTAGAAGCTACGCCCAAAAATGCCGAGAATGCCAAGTCCATAGTCATGCCATCCACGCGCCAGCAGTGGAACTACAGCCCACGGAGGCTCCTTGGCCCTTTCACACATGGGCAATGGATTTGATAGTACCCATTTCACTAAAGTCTAGAAAGATGAAATGGATACTTGTAGCAACAGAAGTGTGTACCAAATGGGTCGAAGCGGTAGTTCTGTCGACAGCGACTGGGCAAGTGGTAGTAAACTTTGTTAAGGAAAACATCATATGCCGATTCGGTGTACCTCGGGTCATTGTATCAAACAATGGAACCCCCTTCGTTAACAGCAAGGTACGAGCACTCCTTCAAAGGTATCGAGTGGCCCACCGTGAGTCGACTCCGTACTATCCTAAAGGTAACGGACAAGCAAAGACCACTAACAAGACACTGATTCGAATCCTAAGTAGAACATTGTAATACCCCTAATTTTAAAAGGACAGTTCTGGAATTTAATTATTGTATTTAATTGCATTTTATTTTATTATGTGTCATTTTATTGGATTATTTGCTTGATAATTGATTATCTGCTTGTTTGTCCTTTTATTTGAATTAATTGTTTTCTTTTATTAATATTATTGTTTTTGTTATTGGATTATTTGGAATTGGGTTAAGTTAACTGTTAATTTATTTTAGATTAGGATTATATTTCTGTGGAAGTTATTTAAATGTTAAATTATATAATTAAGTTGATTTACGTATATGTCAGTTAGGGTTGGAGTTACTGTAGCCGACCTAGGTTGTATTAAGTCGCCGTGTATTGTAACTTGGACAATTGCATGGGCCGACTAAGGGCTTGCATTAGGGCTCTAGCTATATACGGATTAGGGTTGGAGAATTTAGCCTATAAATATATTTCTTCATGTGGGTTTAGGGTTTAGCAAACAAACATCACACAACCTGCACTCACGTATCAGGTTTTCAGAGAGGGAAAAACAAAGAGTTTCAGAGAAAACCTTTAGGGATTGAAGGAAGAATTCAAGGAGAAGGTTGGGGATTGAATTAGGAGCAGCAGAGGGAGTTAAGACAACCATCGTTGCCGGAGTTGACAGAGGTCTACAGTTCCACAGTCTGAAACTGAAGGCAAGTTCTGTTTCCACTCTATCCCTTTAATCTGTGTTCTGTACAGGCTTAGAAAGACTCTAAGGATTAAACCAAGATTAAAAACAGATTAATGATTAAATTTATCTTGTATACATGTTCAAACGGAAATAAATCTCGTGAATCAAACTGTGCAAATTTTTAAAGAACTGTGAACTGATGCATGCTGTGTCTTGGGTTCAAGCTTGGTTAATTGGGATTATTGATGCATGTTGGGGGGTTTCTCATGTAATCTAGGATAGTGTATAAACACTGGAACAAGGTTTTAAAATACTAAATAGGTTTTGAACTTAGCCGGAGGCGAGGAAGACAACCAGAGAAGGAATTACGGCTCTCAAAGGAGGAGAGCCGGCTCACCAAAGGAGGGAGCCGGCTCTAGGGGTGTGAGAGCCGGCTCCACAAGGGATTGGAGCCGGCTCCACAAGGGTAGAGCCGGCTCTAATAAGGGAGGAGCCGGCTCTACCAAGAAGGGAGGCGGCTCCAATATTCTGGAGGCGGCTCCAGCTTCTTTTCTTGCTTCTGCGTGATTTTGGGTTGTTTCTGGACCTATGGGAAGATGACTGGGTTGTTTCAGTGGGTAAAATTGGGTTGTATAATAGTTCCAGAGATGTAAAAATGGTTGGAAGTATTGTTAATGGTATTGTGTTGAACCTTGAAGCAACCTAAGGTTAAACGAAGAAACTGCATATGTGAAGTTGTCTTTGAAATCTTTGTAAACTGTTTACTGCTTTGAGCAAAGTTTTGGGTTCTTTTGCATGTTTAAATTTGTTAAGCATGTTCAACTATGTTATAAACATATGTTTGTCTATCTAGAAGATTAAGTATGCTTAAATGGAATTAATGGATGTTTTAAATTTATCAACTATTGCATCAGATATGGTTGTGCAGGAGGAGTGGTAGGTTTCAGTCTTACTCAATAAAATGGGACTGGAAAGGGATTTCTAAACCTTATGTAGGATGATTAATGTGTTGTACACATGTTAAACTGTTATATGCAAATCTTGAAGTATGGTGGATTGGTATTTATTACTGTTCCGTCAACTATATTAACTGGAGGAACTACATGTACAGTCTTTTCATATATATATAAAG